GGAAAAAATATTCCCCCCCCCCCCCCTCAAAAAAAAATCCCGTAGCATGGCTCGATAACTTCTCAATAGTTTGCGATATATTTGCATCTAAAGTGACATTAAAAAATGGAAAGTCAAAAGATCGATTTGGTGTTAGTTCACGTTTGTCTAGCATTCGATTCAGAATAGTTAAAAATAAGTGGACAATGGCATTTTTTTATAAATGAGTATAGTAATTGTTGCTAGTAAATTAGCAATTTGCTACCGAATGTGTTCTCTTTTTTGAAATTCTTATTTCACTATTCTCTTTTTCTACTTTTTCATACTATAATACTATCATCAATTGAAATTTCATCAAAATTTTGCGTATTATTTCGTTCTGTATATAATCCTACATTCAGACACTCTCGAGACTCGAATTCGGTTTCCGGGTTTAATCGAGGTTTAATTAGTGTATAGCTGGAATTTAATCAGGGTTTATTCAGGATGTACCCAGAGTTTAACCCCGCTTCTTTCAGAAGTTATTCGGGACCATGAATCAACATGAATAAGTATTCAACATAATATACTAATACCTGAGTTTAATGGAGATAGAGATTTTGATATAAAAAGCTCATAACGGTATTGTGGAACTTGATAAGCAATGATGCTATTCTCAGGATTTTTCAACATGATTAAGAAGGCATTGAAACATACTTTTGAAGCCCTGATTTAATTGCTATTACTAATGATTCTAGTAGTCATGAAAAACCCGATTATCTCATTCGAATCGCATAAATAATGTGCTGTAACTCAACGACGAATTGTGCGACTCCCATCATATTCAGATTTTTTGAAAAATATCCATTTTTTCGAATCTGTATGAAAAATAAAATTTTAGTTGATGTCAATGAATGAAACTTATTAAGGTCCATATTCATGAAAAAATTCATGAAATTCGATTGGTCGCTTATAAGAAAATAATTTTAAAAAAATGAAAAAAAGCCCATATACATACATACATACATACAGACACCATCTAAAAATTGCATATTCGAACTTTTTAGACTACCTTTAGTTACCCTAACACTAAAAATTGAAAACTTAAGTTTGAGCGATTACAAAGCTTCCATTTGGATGCAAAGTATATATTGAAATCGTTGACTTTTCACAGAAAATTGTCAAGAAACACATGTTTCGAAGTGCATCGACTAAAAGGCATCAATAATATAATGTCAAATACAAAAAATACCAATACAAAAATGAATCCCGTGACAACCCGTGTATATGAAATATGGTAATTACATTTCGTTAAAGCTGCTGCAACTAATTTTCCTCAATTATCAAAAATGTTCATTTCATAAGTTCTCCCATCAACCTAAGAAATTACAAAATTTTCCTCGAAGATGAAAAAATTAAATTATTAGAAAATAGATAAACATTCTTAACATTCTCTCCTGCATAATGTCAATGAAAGCAAAAAGCATAGTGAATAAATTTTATGTACCCTCCAAGATTCTTCCATCTAGCGAAGAAGGACTCCCCATTCATTTCCGTTGGTTCGAAGAATTTATTTATCGTCAGTGGTAATTTCATCGTTATTTTCTGTGGCACATTATTGCATAGGAACGATATGAGCATGGCAGGTGTATCTGGAAATCAAGTTCACCATAAATAAAACGAAGTAAGAAAATTGAATATTAATAAATGGAAAAGTGGTTGATACCGTTGTAATCATCGATACACTCAGCATTGATCATCTGTTGTATCTGAGCACCAGCCTCCAGCACCGGATCAACAGGTTTAACCTGCACAGCGAGCTTCAATTGGTCCTCTTCCGACCAGGACAACTGTACAGCAAAATTATTAAGTGCATACTGCGTTTTGTTGCCGTAGAACAAACCAATGCGTCCGAGATTCTGCCTGAATTCTGATTTTACACCGATCTGGATCAAATCGTTTTCGAAGAGAACTCCATTGTTTTTACAGACGAACCTAAATGTAGAAAATTGCATAATTAAGTAAATTTATCTTCATGAAATTTCAAAACTAAAAATTTAAGGGAAGATTGATCTGAATTAAAAAATATTTTCATTCTCTTGGTACAAATTGTGATGTTGAATTTTCAATACACGAACAGTTCTTTTTTCCTTCAAGGACCAAGTTATTTCGAATAAAGAATATACTTCTCCAATTAAGAAAAAAATTACCCTTAAATCGAAAAGAAAAAAGAACTTCGATTCAACAACAAAAAAATCTAGTGCATATTCTCTCATCAAACAGAATCACGTGGAACGTCCAATAAACGATTTATTTGATGTGTTTACTGTAGAAGGGAGTATTTCTGTTAGTGAAATGTAATCTTTCTCATTTCTGGAAGGTAATAAAATGGGCATCAGCTCAATCAAAACTCTGAACTTTCCCATATCCTCCACCCTCACTTGGACCTCGTGCATAATTCAGTGGATTCGATTACGAACAAAACACTTGATCTTGTGAAAACCCAACGTTAGTTTTAATAATTAATGTTTATAGCAGTATATAACTATGATTGATCTCAACTTTGGCGCGCTGTTTCAATCCGATCGGTCCAGTATTGTCTGAGATATAACAACTTGTTTAAATTTTAGTTTTCCTCAATATCTCAAAAACTACTGTATCGATTTCAATTTTCCTTTTTTAAAAATACTCGTCTTGATAGTCTCTACCTAAACCAATCAAAATATCTATGTCCATTCACATAAAATTTTCGAGATATTGCCGTTTTTTCGTTTTTAAAATTTTATAATTCTTATACGCACGATAACCTGAGAAAAAAATTAAAATAGCAAGTTGAAATTTGGTATGGTTACGCCACCAGCGATATCATATTTAACCTTTTGCATAAATGTATTTCATTAATAGGTTGAATATTTCCCTGTAGACACCCTGTAGCATGTGGTTACGGTTGTATGCCTATCACAAGGACAGAGAATTGCTACACTGAGAAAAAAAAATTAGTTTTGCGAAATATTCATATACTTCAGAGATGCGTTTATTTTTTCAAAATCGTATTTCTCCAATCGAGTCTTTCCCAGGTGAGCTTGACTAGGTTTCAATTACAACAATCCTATTGCTAGAGGATAACTATGTTGCACATGATCTTGGATGAATTCCTCTAATGATTATTCATTTTTCCCAAATTTCTTATTTTCTAGAGGGAAGAATTTCCATCAATTTTTTAATGTTGGTAATTATTGAAGGAATCCCCTCAAAGTCATAACTAACATGATCGTATTCTAGAGCAATATAATTGACATGATTGAAACCTAATGAGAATGGCCTGAGAATGACCCGAATGGAGAAATATGGTATTGAAAAATAAATACTTCTCTCAAGTAAATGGATATTTGGTAAAAACATTTTTTTTCTCAGTGTATACGAATGTATTCGGAAGCTTACTGCCAATGGAATTGGTTAAAAAAAAAGACTAAAAAGTAACTGTCCCATCACATGCCTTGTGTCCGATAGGCTCGAATCCCTGCTCGTTTTCCTGCATATCGTTACAATAAACTGAACTGATGTATTAAAAACAATAGCCTCAACTTACTTTTTCGGATTATACGTATTTTGTGCACCATTGGAAGCGCCAACTTTGTTCGGCATATTATAAATATCCCCAAGAACATCCAGAAGCACTCCAGTATTACTAGTAGGCTGTGAAGAAGGAGGCGTCGAGAGTCCCAACAAATCCGCCGAAGAATTATTGACATTAGCCACAGAAATGGCCGAAGGAACCTCGACATGATGATTGGTATTCGGCGCTGGGCTCTTGCTCTCCCTGACCTCATTCTCAGGCACCCTTCCAGGTTTCTTCTTCTTCAGCACCGCCAAGATGGACGATTCCCTCTCGGGGAAGGCAGGCATTTCCTCCAAAACAGTGGCCAGCACATCCGTCGACGCAATGATGCTCAACTGGAGGTACTCAGACGCCCTCTGCTGCAATTCAGCATCAGCACTTCTCAAATTACTATCCTGCCTGAACACGTCCTGAATGGGACTCCTGATCTCCGGGAACAAATTCACAAACTTGATGTACGTAGACAGCAACAGGGCTCGCGTCATGGGTGAGCAGAGATGATACTTGGAATGTAAAAGTTGGAATTGTACAGCTGGTGATGACCTCTGATCACCAGCAATGAGATTCCCGAATTCTCCAAGAATATAGCCACCAACTTTGACCATATTCTCGTGACAGGCAGGTGCCTGGAGAGCCTCGAAGACAGTCTTGGCAGCATAACCCTGAACATCGTCTCGATTTATGACTATCTGAATGACTCTGTACCAGACCTCCTCAGAAACATAATCTCCAGCTATCCTAATCAGGTTCAGAATAACATCGACATACCACGTGTAATCTGTCGCGTATTTCTCAGCTAAAATAGCAACCTTGAGTACCATCTCTTCTCTGATGGAGTAGTCAGCTGTCTCGAGATAATTCAGCATCTCCTGGACAATCTCCTCTGCATTGCTCTTATCACACATGGCGTAGAGCAGGTCCACTGCTTGCTGGCGCACTGAGACGTCCTTCTCCATCTTCATGGAGAGGATGACTACCTCCTGGTGCTTCTTGACAGCCTCGTGGGAGAACTCTGATGTTGCCAGGTGACACATGGATTCTAGAGCCAAGTAACGAAGATTCGTCTCTCGGTTAGAGAGGAACTGACCGAGCTGATTGCAAGCTCGCACTAGAAGGTTTGGCTCACTGTCGTTGTGGATGATCAGACTGATGGCTTCGAAGAGAACTGCGTTCTTGGCGTTTGAGTGCTGGACTTTTTTGGATTTTGGGGGCTCCTGGGCTTTGTTCAGGATCGTTTCTAGGCATTCGTTTAGTCGCCCTCGGACACCTGGGTCCTCTGCTGGGGGAGTGTAGTTCTGGAGGAGTCGGAGGAGTTTTACTGAGAGCCAGGGCGCTGGCACGAAGTAGTAGGTGTAGTCCTGCAGGTCTGTGTAACTTGATGTGACGATTCTGCTCAGTCGGGAGACTGCTAGGCTCACGCAGCCCTTGTACTCCTCTGGGTTTCGTTTTACTAGTGCGTCGATCAGGGAGGCTGCTGCTGTTACTACACCGAGGTGCTGATCGTTCAGGAGGTGCACGATGCGCGAAGTCCATTCACCACCTGGCACTACGTCCGGAGCTGTTCGCAGGAGGCGTAAGAGGCAGAGGGCTGCACTCTGCTTCACCACGTCCATTGTGTCTCTGGGGGTGATTATAATAGTTTTAGTTGGAGGTTGAGGTGGTTGTCGTGGTGAAGTCGTGTTTTGGAGGTGTCTGTGAAGGGTCGTTAAAGAGAACGTGGTGGGAGATTTAAGGGAAGTGACTGGGGAGGGTAGTAATTGAATGTGGGATTGAATTCAGTGAGAAAGTGGTAAATCGTCACGCACTGTTGGAAATTTAGGCAAACTGAATTGACAGTGGAATGCCACTACTCAATTTCGTGATTTTGAATTAGATTTGAAATCAGAGCCAATTGGATTGCAGTTTCAATAGGATTGATTCACGTGGGGGAAAGTGATACTTTACAAGATCTTTGTTATCAATTCGAACGAATTTATAACGAAGTGATAAACTGGGATAAGTGCAAAAATGGAACTTTTTCAGGAGAGTTCAAAAATTTGACCACCTTTGAGAAAACTTTTCATTCAAGCAATAGAAAAATTTTCAAAAAAATTGCACTTATCCTAGTTTACCACTTCACTACAGAATTTGCTGAATTTTCCATAACATAAGGTAAACTTTTGATTGAATTAAAGGTGAGAGTATTCCTTCCTCTTTATAATGAGCCAAGACTGGATTCAATGAACTTATTTCTAAGTTTGAGTGTTTTAGAAAAAGTTATAAGTTCCTATCTTGAACAAATGCAAGTCTTACTGATAGCTTGAATTCAGGAAATTGTTGGGGATATTCAATAGAGCCTTGTGTTGAACTTCAAGCAATTGGAAACTCAAGAGAATCATTGCCAATATCTTCATGACTTCCAAACATTTTTATCATTAAATCAAGAATTTCTAAATTCTTGTAATTTAGAAGTCTAAACTCTAATTATTATTAATTACTTAAACCATAAATGTATAGTTGGATGCACAAGAAATATGAACCTGTGTAACTTCTTTAAATCTAATTCTATATATAACGGAATGTTTGTAAGGAATTGTTGTTGGTTAAATGCTTAAAATTAAAAAAACGAATAAGTAATTAATAGGCGATACATTTTCTACTCTAGAAATAATTTCTTCAAATTTATTTATATTCAGAAAATTCCTAAATCGTTACACTCGTGAAAAATTGAGACGGTGAGGTGAATGTTGCAGTACTTAAGAAGGAGAACGTGGTGGAAGATTTAATGGAGGAGACTGGGGAGGATAGTAATTGAATTACGGTTTTTTAAAATGTGGAATTGAATTCAGTGACGAAGTGGTAAATTGTCACACACTGTCGGAAATTTAGGTAAATTGAATTGACAGTGGGATGTCAATACTCAATGTTGTGACTTTGAATTGGATTTGAAATCAGAGCCAATTGGATTGTAGTTCCAATAGGATTGATTCATGGGGGGGAGGAAGTGGGGGGAAATTAAAACTTTACAAGATCTTTGTTATCAATTTGCTGAATTTTCCATAAAATAAGGTAAACTTTTGATTGAATTAAAGGTGAGAGCATTCTTTCCTTTTTGTAATAAGCCCAGACTAAATTCAATGAACTTATTTCTAAGTTTGAGTGTTTCAGAAAAAGTTATAAGTTCCTATCTTGAATAAATGTAGAAGTCTTGCTAATAGTTTGCATTCAGAATATTGTTGGAAAAATTCACCATAGCCTTGAATTGCATTTTAAGCAGGAAATTTCAGGGAATTATTTCCAATATCTTCATGACTTCCACACATTCTTATCATCATAGGAAATTTGGATTGAAACTTTCGCTGTGTAATCAAGAAATCGACAGATTTATCAATAATAATGAGATATTTTTAGAACTCCATATATGTAGATTAGTTATTGTAAGTTTGAAGAATTTCCCTTGAAAATTTGAGGCTGAAAACCATTCCCTTGAAATTTCCATTTAGTTAGTGTAATTCGATTTGAATATTTTTTATATCTATTATTATGAGTTTTTGAATGACCTCGAGAATAACTGGCTTTTAGAGAAAATGTCAAAAGTCGTTTTCTGCAAATGACAAAAACCCTAACAAATAACTCTGACATTTTCTCGTAAAACTATGCATTATTAAATTGATCCCACATTTAAACAACTGTGAAAATATTTCAAGAATTTTCTAATTGTGCCTTTTGTGAAGTGCCTAATTGTGCGTTCATTCAGAGAACGAACCCGGTATTATGGGAGAATGGCAGGACACTTGTCCTTGTAGACGAGAAAATTCCTGACAAAAAATGCAGCTATGTGAAGTTGGCATCGAAGTTTGGAAAATCGACTTTTTTTTTGTTGGTCTGGATTATACTCATTGAGTACTTGAATGTACCCTATGCACTTTTTTTTGTACCCCCTTACTTTAGACCTGAAGCAGGGAGGCAAAATCGTGCAGCGTCGGAGTTGGAAAAAAAAAACGAGGCAATCAGTTGCACTTTGATAGTACTGGTATGTACAACTTTTTTTTTTTCAATACTAACCCCCTTCTATAGTTCACCCCTTTTAAAATTTTAACAACCAGGAGAAAAAATAATATTACATGAATGAATTTGAAATCGTTAGTACTTGTTTGTACCATGCTCATTTTACTTCTTCATTTGTTTTTTTATTAACTATCCCCATCCATGATTTCCCCCTTGGAATTTTTTTAATGCCATATAAAAAAAAATTAACGTGTATTAATTGGAAAATTGCTACTACATGTTAATACAATCTTGAACCCCCTCATTATTGACTGGCCTTACTCATTATTCTATTTACATTTGGATCGCCACATTTTTTTCTGAGGAGTACAACCCAATAAAGTGATTGTACATGTCTGTAAACACGGATTCGTGAAAGTACTAACGTCCAGGTTGTAATTTAAAGGGCTCATGATGGGGTTATGTCTAAGTACAAACGCTCTGCTATTATTTTCGAGCTAGTACACACATTTCCAGTGACCCCCAGCTCATGCACATTTTTTCCTGATTAGTACAATCAAGTATACTGATTGTACATATCTGTAGACTCGGAGTCGTGAGAGTACTAACGTCGAGGTGTAGCTCAAAGACCTCTTAATTGAATTATTTCCAAGTACAAACGCTCTCCTACTATTTTCGAGCTAGTACACACCTTTCCAGTGACACCCAGCTCATGTACATTTTTTTCCTGATTAGTACAATCAAGTATACTGATTGTACATGTCTGTAGACTCGGAGCCGTGAGAGTACTAACGTCGAGGTGTAATTCAAAGGCCTCATAATTGAATTATTTCCAAGTACAAACGCTCTCCTATTATTTTCGAGCTAGTACACACATTTCCACTGGACAATGGCTACGATTTAATGACGTATCTAAGGTGTTTACACCACATGTACTTGGATCTCGAGACCTTATGAAGAAGAGGAAAATTCCAGTGCTAATCTATGTCGAGAATCCATGTGGATTATAAGGGTGATATTATTCAATAATAGATATATTTTATGTAATTATTTTTCGTACGTTTTGGAGATTATCACTGTTAAGCTTCTGATAGATACATGTTCAGAACATAATAATAAAGGTTTGTGATTGGTAAACTTGTTTTTTTTTCAATGTGTGTTGAATCGAATATTCTATTTTCTACAATTCTATTCTGCATGTTAAAAATCGGGTTATAATCGATAATAGTTCTAGGATATCTGGAATGAAGAGTTGAGAATTTAACATACGGATATTTCATTGTACTAATCAGGAAAAAAATGTACATGAGCTGGGGGTCATTGAAAATGTGTGTACTAGCTCGAAAATAATGGCAGAGCGTTTGTACTTAGACGTAACCCCATCATGAGCCCTTTAAATTACACCTCGACATTAGTACTTTCACGAGTCTGGGTCTACAGACATGTACAATCAGTATACTTCATTGTACTAATTAGGAAAAAAATGTACATGAGCTGGGTGTCACTGGAAATGTGTGTACTAGCTCTAAAATAATGGCAGAGCGTTTGTACTTAGACATAACACCATCATGAGCCCTTTAAATTACACCTCGGCGTTAGTACTTTCACGAGTCTGGATCTACAGACATGTACAATCAGTATACTTGATTGTACTAATCAGGAAAAAAATGTACATGAGCTGGGTGTCACTGGAAAGGTGTGTACTAGCTCGAAAATAGTAGGAGAGCGTTTGTACTTGGAAATAATTCAATTAAAAGGCATTTGAATTACACCTCGACGTTAGTACTCTCACGACTCCGAGTCTACAGATATGTACAATCAGTATACTTTATTGTACTAATAAAAAAAATGTACATGAGCTGGGTGTCACTGAAAAGGTGTGTACTAGCTCGAAAATAATGGCAGAGCGTTTGTACTTAGACATAACCCCATCATGAGCCCTTTAAATTACACCTGGACGTTAGTACTTTCACGAATCCGTGTTTACAGACATATACAATCACTTTATTGGGTTGTACTCATCAGAAAAAAATGTGGCGATCCAAATGTAAATAGAATAATGAGTAAGGCCAGTCAATAATGAGGGGGTTCAAGATTGTACTAACATGTAGTAACAATTTTCCAATTAATACACGTTAATTTTTTTTTTATATGGCATTATAAAAATTCCAAGGGGGAAATTATGGATGGGGATAGTTAATAAAAAAACAAATGAAGAAGTAAAATGAGCATGGTACAAACAAGTACTAACGATTTCAAATTCATTCATGTAATATTATTTTTTCTCCTGGTTGTTAAAATTTTAAAAGGGGTGAACTATAGAAGGGGGTTAGTATTGAAAAAAAAAAAAGTTGTACATACCAGTACTATCAAAGTGCAACTGATTGCCACGTTTTTTTTTTCCAACTCCGACGCTGCACGATTTTGCCCCCCTACTTCAGGTCTAAAGAAAGGGGGTACAAAAAAAAGTGCATAGGGTACATTCAAGTACTCAATGAGTACAATCCAGACCAACAAAAAAAAAGTCGATTTTCCAAACTTCGATGCCATCTTCACATAGCTAAAAAATGCCTTATAAATTTTTTTCTAGAACCATTCGTTATTAAAATAATCCCAACGAAATATGAAAAATTGACGCGTTGAATTTTACCATTTCACCACCAAATTCAATAAATTAATTATCAAATTAACTCCCTTGGATTTTACCTAATATCCAGACGCCTAGATCCCATGAGCAGGAATTGTGAGAATAATGTGTAATGTGCTGTATTCTGAGTATCTGTCATGCTTCGTTAATTCATAATTTCCACAACTTACCCAGAAACCAGGAGTTTCGGAATTTCATTGCCAAAGGCTTCAGCCATCTCCTTACTACCAATATTGGCGATACATTGCAATGCCAGATTCACGTGGATAGGATTACGTGAGCCGAGATCATTCTTGATACTCTGAATTATGAGTTTTATGAGATCGCTGTTTGTGTTTACTAGGACCGATATGAAGAGATATCCCTGCAGAAGAATAAATCAGTCAAACATCAATAATCACAATGAGTCAAATAACAAATTATTTTTATGAACATTTCTGTACATACGATTTGCTTTTCTGAGTACTTATTGGAGGACAGCAGATTAACAGCCTCCATGTGTCCAAAATCAATATCATGGCCGAGAAGGAAAATAAACAGTAGTTTGCAGACATATTTTTTCTTCTGATATCCATCGAGTGTTTTATCGCCTTTGAATTTGCTTCGTATATTTGCCAATTCTTTGTTTATCCTCTTAATCTCAGCTTCTTTGCTCTTGCCTAATCAATAATTGATCAATTAGTAACCAGTCTACGTGCCTAGATAATACTAATGTACCCAATTAATATAAAGATTGAGAATAATTTGATAGAGTGAATCGTCCGATGTTCGCACCACTGACATTCGATAAAACGAAAGAGAAGTCAAGTGCCAATTGTATCTCACTCCACCTTAATTTAAGAATATTCAAGTACTTCCACATTTTTTTCCGTTAAAATCCTCCGCAGTATTTGTAATCGAACATCAGAGCTCCCAATCCCGGAAAATTTCACACCATTTCACCAGATACTTTGCATCCACTTTATTATTAGGACTTAAAAATCTTGTAAAAATCTGTATTTCATTATGCATTTTGGACCATTAAAAAACATTTTGAAAATCATAAGAAATCTAGCACGTTCAGTTTTTGAGAGAAATTAATTAAAAAATATGAATTTTTCCTCTGTAAAATTATGTAAATTAAAATGTTTTTCGTAACTAACAAGTAAGTAATTGAGGCCTGAGATTCTGTAGGTCCTTCCCCCCGTACCATGTCAGTATTTTTCTCTACACCCTAGATAAAGATGTAATACTTATCATAAATGAATTCCTAAATTCTTCCAATTTAAAAGTCTAAACTCCAATTACTATTAATTTATTTATCCCAATTATTATTAATGACTTAAGCTATAAATGTATCGAGTTGGATGCACAAGAAATATCAAACTTTGTAACTTCTCTAAATCTAATTCTATGTATAACTGCATGTTTGTAAGGAATCATCATTTGCACGTTTTTTACAATAAAAAAAACGAGCAAGTAATTAATAGACAATAAATTTTCTACTCTAGAAATAATTTCTTCAAACTTATTTATATTCAGAAAATTCCTAAATCGTTGCACTCGCAAAAAATTGAGACTCCTGGTAAGGTTACTGTTGCAGTACTTGACTCTGCCCCAGTAGCCGAACTTGTTCGAGTATCCTACATATTTCCCGAGTCCTGTAATGTTTCATTTAGTATTGCATTTCGACAGTTCTTTAAATGGTATAATTTGACATGCTCAAACTGCATTTTTGTTTCGTCCATCAAACGTTATGATGTTCTATGTGTACGTTCAGCTACTGGGCCTGAGTGTTCAACTACTGGGACATTTACCTTAGTTAAAACAATTTTCCCTATTTATTTATTTAAAAAATGCATTTAGAACGAACTAATGTACGGCGAGGTGTTCTTAAATTGGATAGTGTTTAATGGAAAATTTTGTGATTGAGAATTTCTAAATCAAAACTCCAAATGGTTCATGAAGTCTCGGCGGATTAATGAATACTGTATCGTTTTTCAAAGAGTAAGACCGTAAAATGTCGTCGAATCAATCATCGTCTTTTTTAAAATTAGCTATATCCTTCCCCAACAGTTTCATTCGGGGCGTGCTATAGATTTGGATATTTCCAGTTCGGAGTTTTCCAATTAAATTGTGTGAGAACAATTGTTCCTTTCTTGAATAAATAATGTAACTTTCTTAAAAAATAGAGGATCATTTTCTGTGAAGGTTCAAAAAATGTATCAATTTTTGTACATTTAGTTTTAAAAACTAAATGTAAAATCAAATTTTAGTCAGAACAGTCTACAATCAAATTTTAGTCTTTATTTGCAACCGAAATATAAAAAATTATTGATTTTACCATAAGACGCTGGATTAAACCCGGATTCTTAACATTTTTTGTTGAAAAAATTGAATTATTCATTGAATTGATAAAAAAATTACGATTCTGAATCCAAGCGAGTTTTCTTGAAATCCCTTGAAGCATTTAAAATCGTCAAAATCAAGCTGTGTTCATACTACTTTAAAGGAATACATCATGACATTCAATCACTAAATTCACTCTACACCAGAATTATGTTTAGATAAATTCGGTGATTGAATAACAACCCAACAACAATATCGATACACCGTTGAAGATGTACGCGTCAAAGTCCCCAATATCTCAAAGAGGGGATGGGAGAGGCATGAATGGCACGATGCCACTTGGCCTGATCTTTTCAAAGATGACGTATTAAAAATTCACCCACACGACCTTCTAAGCAACAATACCCCAACCCCAACCTCCATCAATCTCCAATTAGATAAATTCAATTACACACATGAAACAATTCCACTGACGTGTCAATTCTCCACAAAACAAAAAATAAACATCTATTCCATAAAACGTTCTGTATCGAAAGATAGTACTGTATCAGTGCTCCGCCCCCCTTGCATCACACACACGTATGAAAAAAAAATGAAAGAGGCGAAAACCGCGGCGGAATCTCTCCTCCTCAATTTCAATGACAATTTATCTCCCGCAGAAGTGAGCACGCCAGGAAAACCGTTGATGATGCCACGCATGCATCTAAACTTATATCAATTGTCTAGTCGAGCAGAGTCTCGATGCACACGAGTATTGTTGATCACACAATTGTCATACAATTTATGAACTCGAGTTAAATTGACAGGACAGATATTGTTGAATGAAAATTGAATAACTCACAATTTCTTATGTCCGAAATAAATACAGCGAGTCCACGCATGCCATCTCCACGTACCGCTGGCATCTTGATTTATTTATTCGGCACAGGACCACCTGGGGATTGTAAAAAACAATAGGAACAATTGGTTAGTAAATATCACGACGATTGAATTCTCTTATATAACTTCTTACATTGGGAAAAAAAATAAAAGTAAAAATCAGATGTTGAAAATTGGAGTTCGTTTGAACAATAGGAATAATTGATCAACAATAAATGTGACCCTTTACTCTTCTCTTCAAGCGCAACTTTGTAAATATTGACGAGAATAAGACCAATTAATTCATTGAAAATCACGATGATTCGATCCTCTGGGAATTTTCCATTGCCAAAAAAAATCAAAATCAGGAATTGGTCTCACAGCGCCACCTTGTACATATGAAGAACAAAACGACCAATCAATTAATTAACAATCACGACGGTTTAATCATTTTATATCCAATTTTCCATTGCACCAAGAGAAACTAAAAATCAGGAGTTGAATAATAGGGTTGATTTCACAGCAACACTTCGCGAATATGAAAACAATTGGAACAATAATTATGACGATTTACTTTTAAAAAACTCGAAAAAAGCAAAAATTGAAAAATGGAGCTGCTTCCATAGAACTACTTCCAATTATTAAAAGCAAAAGGAACAATTTTTTAATAAAAATAACGATGATTTACTCCTCTTAAATGTAATTTGTCCATTGTTCCAAAAAATTCAGAAAGAAGAATCGTGAGTTGAAAACATTTTTTCAACTCACCAGCTCATTAGTTGGCTACACAGGACCTCGTCGTGATGAAAAATAATCGAAACAGTGGATCAACAACAATAATGATCACGAAGTCCTCTTCACATTCAATTTTTTTTCCATTGCTCCAAACAAATTATAAATAATTGGGAGTAGGAGAATGAAACAAGTTTTTCAGGACATTATGAATGCAAGATTAATTTCACAACAACACTTTGCAAATATAAAAAACAATAGGACATATAATCACGACAATTGACTTTTATTTGTTCACATTCAAATCTGTTATTGCTCCGAACAAATTAGAGTAGATCACAAATGGCAAAATGAAGTGGGTTCCACACGACCACTTGGTAATTATTGAAAACAATAGGTGGATTAATAATTATAAAAAAAAACTCTTCATTGCTCCGAAAAATTCGTAAAAAAGAATCAGGAGTCGAAAAAATGAGCTGGCTACACAGGCCCTCGCCATGATGAAAAATAACAGAAACAATGGATCAACAACAATCATGATCACTTAATCCCCTTCCCATTCAATTTCTTTCGATTGCCCCAAAAAAATTATAAATAATTGGGAGTCGGAGAATGAAACAAATTTTTCAAGACATTGTGAATGCAACATTCTAAAAGAGTACTAAAGAGTACTAGAGTTTATAAAACTTTTAAATAATATAATAGGGTTGATTTCACAGCATCACTTTGCGAATATGAAAAACAATACGGACAATAATTACAATAATTTACTTTTAAAAAACTCGAAAAAAGCAAGAATTGAAAATTGGAGCTGCTTCATCAAAACAACGATGATTTAATCCACTTAAATTGAATTTATCCATTGCTCCTAAAAATTCAGAAAAAAGAATCATGACGTGTAAAAATGAACTGGTTACACAGGCCCTCGTCATGATGAAAAATAACAGAAACAATGGATCAACAACAATCATGATCACTTAATCCCCTTTCCCATTCAATTTCTTTCTATTGCCCCAAAAAAATTATAAATAATTGGGAGTCGGAGAATGAAACAAATTTTTCAGGACATTGTGAATACAAGATGGCAAAAGAGTACTAAATTTTATAAAACTTTTAAATAATATAATAGAGTAGATTTCACAACAACACTCTACCAATATGAAAAACAATAGGAACAATAATTACGATGATTTACTGTTAAAAAACTCGACAAAAGCAAGAATTGAAAAATCGAGCTGCTTCCACATAACTGCTTCCATTTATCAAAAGCAAACGGAACAACTTTTAATCAAAACAACGATGATTTAATCCTTTTAAATTGAATTTATCCATTGCTCCTAAAAATTCAGAAAAAAGAGTCATGACGTGTAAAAATGAACTGGTTACACAGGACCTCATCATGATGAAAAATAATAAAAACAATGGATCTACAACAATAATGATAACTTGGTACTCTTCCCATTCAATTTTTTTCATTTGCTCCAAAAAATGATAAATAATTGGGAGTCGGAAAATGAAACAAATTTTTCAAGACATTGTGAATACAAGATGGCAAAAGAGTACTAGAGTTTATAAAACTTTTAAATAATATAACAGAGTTGATTTCACAACAACACTTTACGAATATGAAAAACAATAGGAACAATAATTAAGATGATTTACTTTTAAAAAACTCGAGAAAAGCAAGAATTGAAAAATGGAGCTGCTTCCACAGAACTATTTTCAATTATCAAAAGCAAAAGAAACCAATTTTTTAATAAAAATTACGATAATTTACTCCTCTTGAATTTAATTTACCTATTGCTCCGAAAAATTCGTAAAAAAGAATCAGGAGTTGAGAAAATGAGTTGGTTTCACAGGACCTCGTCATGATGAAAAATAGCAGAAACAATGAATCAACAACAATAATGATCACTTAGTCCTCCTCCCATTGAATTTTATTCCATTGCTCGAAAGAAATGATAAATAATTGGGAGTCGGAGAATGAAAAACATTTTTCAGGACATTGTGGATCCAAGATTGCAACAGAGTAATTCATAAAACTTGTAATCAATATAATTCCGTGGCATTCACTCGATTACGAATCACCTTGCAACGAAAAAATAGTAATTTCAGCCACTTTATCAATTCGTTGAGACCCGTGTCCAATGGTCACACAATACAACATGCACATACTGCGTAAGAACGGCCAGAGACACCGTACGACACGACCCAATTCATCAAATAAGATGTAATTCAAGAGACATATGTAATTTTTTGACAGCGGGTTGTCTAACGAACGCGCGCGCAACACCCAAAAGTCAAAGATCGAGCGGCGGAGAATGGAAATATGTTATTTTTCGGAGTAAATTGACTCACCGGATTCTATTCCATCCAAATACGTGATTATTAAATGGACAGATAAGTCACTGCGATGGTGGATAATGACAAATGAGGGTGAATAATTACAGAATGAAGTGGTGGATTTAATTGTAGAGAATGTGTCGGTAAAATGTGAATGAAAAAATCAGTACCCGGAGAATTTGCTGTGTGAAACCCTCCCTGTTAACTACCTCAAAGGCTCCTCACACTCTTTTTTTTTGGTACACCAGTGGTTTATTTATCGATGGAGCAAATTTTTCTACGTACCGATTCGAAAAATTGTGTTTTTATCGCCAACTTTACGCTCGCGTTAATTTTCACCGGGGGGAAAGGGGAGAGGCGTTAACTAAACGCGAGTCGGTGCCACGAATTTAGTGGCTGTCGCCATTTGCAACCGTTGACTGGCTCCAACTTGCCTGACGGCTGCACCGTGAAACATAATACCCGTTTGGTCACATCGGTGGCGCATTGTACCGACCCGCGCCTGCGTTATCAGAGAATGCGCATGCGTCGCGGGGTGGATTATCACTCGAATGGGAAATAAAGGATTGTTGTTCAACACCTAAGAATTAGTTCGATTGAGTTAATTATGGCAGAAATAATTGAAGAGACTGAACAGCGGGGTGGATTGAGGAATTGTTATGCTGTCGATAAGGTCACGTTGTTTTTTGAAGCATTTGATTTTTTTTCTCATGGAATTATTATCTTGCAGAAAACGTGGAACTCCAAAACGACAACACGGATTCCAAATATTTTCGTATTCAGCTATGTTTTTTTTTCTTTGGAAATTAAAAGGTTTCGGTTGGAGCGAACAATATAATGAACTACTCCAGACTTTCAATTTTTGGAGAAGAAGGGATGAGTGCGAAAATCATTGAGATGCGTTTTATTCGTTTTGTATAGGTTTCCTGGCGGGTGTAATCGATTTGTATTGTTTATAATATGGCACATTCCATGCCAAATCAGCCACCATGGCTATTAATTCAGTAGCGAAGCGGTATAACGGTTTAAGTCGATTTTTTAAAAAACCAAATCGGCTATGTCGGCCAAATCGGTTCGGTGTATCGGGTTAAGCTGTAAATTTCAAATTGAATAAGTGAAATTTACAACTTGAACCGCTACTGAATCAATCTCATTTTTGAATTGTGTTGAGAAAATTCAGTGGTGAAGCGGTAAAACGGTTTAAGTGGATTTTGACTAACGGCCAGTTTTCAATGAATATCTCGAAATCTACGGCAAAAATTTTGGATAAATTATAAATATAAATTTAAATTATAAATGAATTTTAAATTTTAATTTTAAAAGTTTGTTACCAACATTTTGTTATATCCCTTAGATTCAATGATATCCCTAAAAAACTCAACTCGGACTAAGTTGGTTTCAGTATACAACCGCGGTCACAAATATTATAATCCCCCTATTATTTTATTTTCATCGTTATTTTTCAAATTCATATACCATCTTTGAATTTTCATAAGGTAGGCTTTTTTGGGGTTTATACCAGCTGCGTCCACGTCGCAAACCCTGGATAACGCAGAACGCTGGTAGGGCCAGATATATACGCCTTACCACCGTTCTGAATTTAATTTAAGGATAATCGGGCGAGGAGGAAATATAGGAGGTGAGGCGGAGGGGTTTCTATTGTTTTCCTGCAGAAAACCAATCGCTGAACAAAAAAATTTTTCCCATTCGGATTCAAAATTCAGGCAATATTTTTTTTTTATATTCCAGCCCTTTCTGCCCTCTGATTGGCTAATCGGCCATATCCAACCCTATGCATGCGGCTGTGGATTCTACACT